CAAGGAGTTTGAGATTTGGGAAAAATTTTCAACATCATTCATTTCAAAATCATTAACTATAGATGGGAAGCTAAAGCCGAGAAATATGGTCAAGTGATCTGTCCAGTTAGTATACAGCTGGACTTAGGTTAGGACCCAGCTTTTCTGACCTGAAGCCCTCTTCTCTTTTGTATATCCCACAAAGGTCCTTAAAATCCCTACAGATCCTTTAACAGGAGAGTCCATGAAATGTACTCTGTGATGGTTAATGTTAGGTGTAACCATGACTGGATTAAGGAATACCTAGAAAACTGATAAAGCATTATTTGGGGTGTGTTTGTGAGAGTGTTTGCAGAGGAGCTTAGTATGTAAGTCTGAAATGGACCAGGGACATCCATCCTCAGTATTTGTTCTCCCAATCTGCTGGGGAGAAGAAATACAGAAAGAAAATGGGTCTATTTCCCTGAGGCCTGGGACAAGCTTTTCTTCTCCTGCCTTGTACAACAGAAGTCCAGGCCCTCCAGCCTTTGGGATCCAGGACTTATACCAGGGGCACCCTCCCCAGTTTCCCAGGCTTTCAGCCTGGAACTGAGAGTACTACCAGTGGGGCTTCTCTGGTTCCGAAGTCTTTGAACTTGGACTGAGCCATGCTACTAGCATCCACAGGTCTCCAGTCTATGGATAACCTGTTATGGGACTTCTCAGCCATCATAATCACACAATAAATCCCCTCTCATGTGTCTACCTATGTAACCTGCTGGTTCTGTCTCTCTGGAGAACCCTGACTAACTGACATGGTAATAAATCTACTTGTCTTACAAGTTCTAAGGCGAGGGAGATAAAAGTGTCTAACCATTCTAAGAACTGTCCGTGTTTAGTATGAAGTGAAGAGATAACTCCTACTTTGAGTAATTTTTCAACTCTTCTGAGGCGTCGTCCACCATGTTGCTGTCCTTAGCTTCGTGGGCCATCGCTCGGTAGAGAATGCAAGCAATCACTGCCTTAACTGTGGCTTCCTCTCCATGCTGCCAGAAGAACATGGCCATCTTCTGCCTTTTCATGAGCACAGCCCAAACCAGCAGGTCATTGTAAGGATAAATAAAGCCAGTGGATTCAGGGTCATCTGTAATGTCTTGTCTTTCTTTTGACTTCTTCCTTGATTTATGAGAGACTCCAGGCTTTTCCTGTTGGAARGCAAAATAGGATTACATTTCCAAATACTAGGATGAGGTTTTACCTAATATAACACAGCAAGTATCTTAGAGATATTTTTTWAAATCACTTAAAAAAAGACATGGAAATATTGATAGGATTTTATAAACCAGCAAGAAAAAATTAAACATTCTACAGTGATGTATTCTTGTTGTATTTAAGGTATCCAGAGTCCCTAAGCTGATATACTTTAAATTCATATGGCACAACTACTTTGAGATATACCCAATAACTACATGACAACTTTTGATTTCCCAATGAAGGGTGTTGAAATAATATATTGGAAATATGGAAATTATTTTAAAAATCTCTAACCTCACTTTATCAAATAGATTTATAATTTTCCCCTTAAGTGGATGTCACTAGTATTCCAAAYATGCATCAAAACAGATTGGTTTTTAAGTTTTCTTTCCCTTATTCTAATTATATTTCTCTAGGGATAATAATGAAATAGTATTCTCCTCCTGGTGAGGTCACTCTTAGCTCATCTCAGATGTCACTTCGTATGTCTTTATTTCATTGTCTCGTACTGTACTACCGTATAACCTGGAGAAAAATGGAATCATTTCTGAATCATCTTCATATCTTTCCTGACCCACTTGTTTCCCAAATTTAACCTAGTAACCATAATAATACTTGGAAATATAATAACGATTCAGTAATTATTCTTTGCAATTTGAGGGATCATAGCAAAAGAATTCTAATCTATTTTCTCTCTTTCCAAAATAAAAGGAATCTGTATTCATTAATGATGGCCAAGGGTAATCAAATATATGTTCATCCCAGGAGCCTTGGAAAGCAAATCTCTTTCATCCAACATGGCAAATATTTCCATGGAAATGCTTAAGCAAAATCATTTTTCCCCAGARGAAAATGGGATTAAGGAAGTAAGAAGCAAAGGGAAATATTAAGGTTGTTGTGTATGTGCAGGCACACACGCACACACACATGCAATTATCATTATACCATAATGACAGGCTAAATTAATCTCAAGAAAACCTTAGAATGGAAAAAGGAAGACACAAAAAGGCATTTTTGAGAGCACTGAAGGAGAAGGAAGCAGTCCTCATACAGCTCAACCTTGGTTCAGGAAAGACAAGGATGTAGTGTTGGGCAATGATTATAAATTTTTAATACTATGGCATAGACTGCCAGCCTGAGTCACCGTCTGGGCATGGCAAAGCTAGGAGAAAGAAAGAGAAACCAAAGTGCAAGCCCAGACAATCACTGGGTTGCCAGTGCTATATCCTAGGCCTTTGCTCCTGATTGTCAGAGGACAGCTGTGTTATGCTTTTTGACTTGTGCCATCTGTTTAAGGCACTTATAAATGGTTCCTCTGTTTGCACCTTGCTTTCTCCAATATTCGATGAAGAAACAATCTCAGTCTGAGAGAATAATTTATTGTCCACTCTWAAAACAAATGAGTGATACCTTGAATTTATAAGGCTGGGCAGTTCTGAAGAACTGGGAATGCGAGGTGTTTTCTGCAGACTCGTTTCTATTTGACAAAGAACATCGCTGGTGAAGAGGGTGCTGGGAGAAGCTTTGAGCAAAGCTGGTTGTTCTCTGGCATATATAGTTATTTTGTTATTTTTTTTAAGAAAAGAAAACAGAAAAAAGAAAGTTATAGTGGTAACAATATTTTTTTCATAGACAATAATGAAAATATGTAATAAATAAATATAAATACATATGTTTATATTTTTTATATAAAAATAAATATAATGTTCTACCAAATATCTAATGGTTATGCCTCTCATCCATCATTAGCATTTCATCTCCCTGGAGTCTAATTACTCAAGAGCCTCTCATAATCTTCCTCTTATTAAGCACACTGCTACTTTCTAACATCTTAGAGAACACACTCTTCTGCTCCCTACTGTATATTTACATTCCTTCTCTATGTGGAAATTTCATTAGAATCAATGGATATTCTATCATTGGAACAAGTTCAAAATAGGCAATAAAGATTTATAGTTCTGATAAGAAAAAGTTCCCATTCACAAACKGCTCCAAGAATAAGTGAAGTTAGAAAGTTATGAAATTTCTCCAGATGTTATATAGTTTTCTCTTGAAAATATAGAAATTAAAAGCTTAATAGGATTAGATCTATAAACTCTACATTTATATTTAAATTTAGACTTTCAGTGACTGGGCCCAATAAGAACATAAGTCATTGTTATCAGCATCAAGTGTTCATCAATAAGAAACAAAAACACAAAGAATATATTAAAAGAATTGACATAAAAATACAGGCTAYTTCTGGATCTTTCGATAGCCCACATTCTCCCCTGAATGTATACTCTTTGCTTTATCCCCATTCCTCATGTTTCTCACTCTTAAGAAAGTCCACATTCTCCCTTGAATGTGTCTCTGCTTTCTTAAATACATCACTGTGTCTCTAAAAAAATTTTACATATATATATATATATGTCTGTATATATATATATATACAGACATATATATACATACACACACATATATATATGTATACACACATAAAAAAACTACATGCTACAATCAGTCCTCATATCTGCCATTAGTAAACTCACAGCAATATATATATATATATAGATAGATATTTGGTAGAACATTATATATGTATATATATATATACACACACTCATATGTATATATATATATTTTTTTTTTAATGAAATAGCTGGTACCTCCTAAATACATCCCTATGCCTCTGAAATCTTAACAGAGAATTTTCTGGGTAAGTTTTGGGGTTCCATCTGTTTTGCATTGTTTTCCTGTTTTTTCCAAGTCCTAAAGCCAAGTTCAGCTTCCACTTCTCATTACTTTTTACAAAGGGCCAAAGTGGCTGAATAGTCCAGGCTCTTTATATGATCTGATCCCAACCACCTTTCAAATCTCATCTCTTGTGCCTCTGGCACTTACTCTCCAGTAAAGGTCTCCTTGTCACTGCAAAAAACATACCCCGGTGTCTGAGTGCTGAGGCCCTCACTGCTCCTGCTCCTGTCAACATAAATACCCCAAACTCCCTCTTCTGCCCTTATCTTCTCAAAGGAGTTAGGCTCCTCAGTCCAGTCTACAATGGAAATTCCAAAAAACAAGCAATTTTTTTGTGCTAATCTACTAAATAACAACTCTAAACTTTTATTCTTAGATTTTCAAATCTATGATAGAAAATAAAATGTTTATTTCTATTTTTAAAAAATTTCTGTTTGCATCTTCCAATAAAATCCCTGTGTTTATCCCAAGGTTGTCATCATCTGGCTGTGGGCTAAAGAGTTTATAGATCTAATCCTATTAAGCTTTTAACTTCTATATTTTCAAAAGAAAACAAAGARAAAAAGAACTGGCCATTTCTCTCTCTAACAAGTCCCATCTCATCACATTACTTCTATCTCAATGTRGCACTTATTTTWAAAAATATTTATTTTTTACTTGTAGTTATCACAATCAATACCTTTATTTTATTCATTTATTTTTATGTGGTGCTGGGGATCRAACCCAGGGCCTTGCACGTGCTAGGTGAGTGCTCTACCACTAAGACACAACCCCAGCCCTCAATATATCACTTATTATGTTCTGTTTTGTTTTATGGCTAGTTCTTCATAAATCTATATCATCTAGAAGTTTCTAAACTCCTGATCTTTATGTTCATCCCATCACAGCATGCCAGGCGAAGCACAGTATTTACATACAGCAGGTAAAAAAGGTTCACAAATAGAATGTCCAYGTTAGAAGCTATTGACATCTGAACATAACAAAACATTTTTCTAAACCTACAATTTCTAATTATTCTTAATTTCATTAGGGGCACTTGTTAATTATGCTACCTTGTGTTTCCTGTAGAGGTTGTTGTAGAGGGCTCTGAAACTTTTCCTAGTGTAGCTGCTTCGATATGCTCCACCAATGAGGTATTCTATCACCAATCCGATGTCAATCAGAGTTATTCTGTAGCCTGAAAGAAGGGTGTGCTGCAACAAAAGCACGCAAGGAGTTGTGACTTTCAGTTCTCTTTCTCTGCCTCTTTGGCCATGCTATCAGAYAATAACCAAGTTAATTTCAATGAGATATACTTTAATCCTCTTTACAAACTAATCRATTTATATTGCCAGCTATTGATAGAATCTACTTATTMAGAAGAAAAAAAATCTTAGCCTTAACGTCTTTTTACATTCACAGACAGAAAATGTACGTCTACATCTATCTTCTCTTTCCCTCTCCCTATCATGAATGCAAACATAGGCACACATATATTTGAATAAGATACAATTAAATGTAGTATTATAGAGAATCTATAGATTGTTTTGTATTATATATATATATATATATATATATAAACTACTATATATATAAAACTACAACAACAAAAGTAAAATCATGAAGTATATAGTAAATGTAGGCAATCCAAAATTCACATTGGGTTAACTTTTTTTCTTATGGTACCAAGGACTGAATTCAGCAATACTTAACCACTGAACAACATCCTCAGCCCTTTGTATTTTTKATTTTGAGACAGGATCTTGCTAAGTTGCTTAGGGTCTAGCTAAATTGCTGAGGCTGGTCTTGAATTTGTGATCCTCCTGCCTCAGCTGGGATTACAGGCATGCACCTCCATGCCCGGTTTATATTGGGTTAACTTTTCAGCTTCTGTTGAAATGGCTGTTACACCTTGCAGTGTGTTGAACACATCATATGTAAAACAAGAATGTGGAAGGAAGTAGAACAAACATAAATAAGGAGCATAGAATTACAGAGTCAAATGATATCTCAAAACATGAGGCTGTGCCAAGAGAAATTTTATAGCTGACAGCAGTATTGAACAGCAGAATTCCAAGTACATGGCTCTTATTCTAAATGAAAATTATTTTGACCCCCTACACCTCAAATTGTACAGCTGCTGACTTCTAAACTGCCATTCATATAAATTTTTTAAGGTGGAGTGTTAAACAAGGTCTCTAAAATGGACAAATTGTGAATAACATTCACAAAGCTATGAACAAGAAATTAGGTGGGTTTTTTTTTTTTTTTTTGTGTGTGTGTGTGTGTGAGAGAGAGAGAGAGAGAGAGAGAGAGAGACGGAGTATGTGTATCCATATATACTTTTCTTTTTTTCCACATTTATAATTTATTTTTTTCAAAGATCATMAAAAAATAACATTCCTGGTAACCAAGTGTGGTGGCACATGCCTATAATMCCAGTGGCTCAGGAGGCTGAGACAGGAGAATTGAAAGTTAAAGCCAGCCTCCGCAACTTAGTAAGACTCTATCTCGAAAAAATAAAAAATAGAAAGGGCTGGGGATGTGGCTCAGGGGTCAAGCACCCCTGGGTTCAATCCCTGGTAGAAAAATAAATAAATAAATAACATTCCTACTTGCTGCTAGTTAAAAGCATAAATTCGCTGGGCATGGTAGTGCACACCTATAATTCTAGGGACTCGGGAGGCTGAGACAGGAGGACCATAAGTTCAAAGTCAGTGTGGGAAACCCAGTAAGTCCCTGTCTCAAAGGAAAAAATAAAAAGTACTGGGTTTGTGGATCTATGGTAAAGCACCCCTGGATTCAATCCCCAATAAATACAATGATAAATAAATTAATAAGAGCATCTTTAACCTATTTTATGCCTTATTCTTTAATTTACTGATAGAGTTTAAAGAAATAATTTAAGAAACTATCTTGACATAGCATAAATCAATATAAATAAAATCCACCTCAGTATAGACACTTTTGCTTATTACAAATTTGCCAAGTAAATTTCTTTCGCTCTGGTTCTCCTTCCAAGTCAACATAAGCAGAAATTCCACACTCTATCATTCTATCCTATGAGATACTAGGCTTCAAAGAAATGAGGGAAGTTTTAAAGTGTGCCTTCAGTAGATTTTAACCAGAGTGACAAGACCAGGGGGAAAATAGGAAGTCCCAATCCTGGGTCTGATCTAACTCAAAGTTCCATGGGGAAGACCAGGAGCAAAATCTGAACAAGGGTGTTGAGCAGTGGGGTCCCTCCAGACTCCCTAGAACAGTGGTTAGACCCAGAAAAAATGTGCCAGTGTCCCCGAGCTGTCACAAATATTCCAAACAGTATCAACAAAAGCAACGAAATCATGTTAGTCCTCCAATAAAGACAACGGAACCACAGACTCTTCTTCTGCTGGCAGTTGTCACCATGGGCACCACTGCCCTGTCGTGTAGAGCTGAAGTTCTGATTGGAAGTGTTACATGTCTCTGTTTCATGCTTTTGTTTGTTTCTTTTTTGCAATTTCTTTTTTCACATATTTTATTGTTTCTTTCTGGTTATACATAACATTAGAATTCATTTTGACATAATTAAAAAAGCATGGTATATAATTTGCTGTAATTCAGTCCCCAGTATTTTCTCTTTCCCTTCCTTTCTTCCTCTCTCTGTTCCACTGATCTTTCTGCTATTTACTTTAAGTCTTTTTTTTTTTTATTGTTGGTTAGTGTCTGTGGATGTTTATGATGGTAAGATTCAGTGGTGTGTATTCATGTGTGTACACAGAGGAAAGTTAGGTCAGATTCACTTTTCTGTTCTTCCCTTATCCCATCTCTTCTCCCTCCCACTTAGTCCCCCTTCATCTAGCCCACACCTTCCTTCCTTTTTGATGGAATCTTCCACCCTGGATTCCCCTCTCCTTATTTTGGAATAGCTTCCAGAGAAAATATTCGACCTTTGGCTTTTTGAGTCTGGCTTATTTCACTTAGCATGATGTTCTCCATTTCTATTCATTTACCAGCAAATATCATAATTTCATTCTTCCTTATGACTGAGGAATACTTCATTGTGTATATATATATCACATTTTGTTCTTTATTAGCTAATGTCACTTACTTGGTAGATCTAAACTAAAAACATAAAGTGAATTAAAGGGAAAAAATGTAAGAGTGTGGTTTGATGAGAAAAAATTGCTTAGAACCATATATATGTAAAAAGGGTAGATAATTCACTAGAAAATCAAAAGAAGCAAAATATGGCTACTCCTCTAATCACAAAGCTAAGGCAATATACAAAGATATTTCCACATCTTTGTAATTAGGTTACCTGTTTTACATCTTGGACAAGATGATGCAACAGCATATTAGTTGGTCCTTGTTTCTGTGATAAAGAACAATAGAAATAATTATTTCCTTTAATTGTGGTAAAATGAGGGGGACCCTTTATTTCCAAGTGTGTAAATAATGCACAACATGGAAAATTTTGTTCAACATTTTTAGTAATGAAACTTAAGCTGGTTGGTTTTAAGGAAGAACTCTCCCTAGAGAAGATGTATTTAGATGAAATATTTTCCCTTTTCTTTTGTCTCTGGATGAAAAGATTTTCAAAACAAGGTATCTATCTATCTATCTATACACTAAGGATATCAGCTTTAGCTTTATGTGATAAAAGGCAGAAATACATTTTAAGTAATTTGTAACTATTCTTTATTATATATAAATGTTCATACTATTACAAATCCTAAGACACAAGTACATTTTAACATTGGACATTTATTGAAACCTTATTATAATCAACCAGGTTTCTAAGGGATTCAGTGGCATATTTATAAAAATAGAAAGCAGTGAGTAATTACACTAAAAAATGGATATGTGGGTGCTCAAAAAGAGTTATAACTAATCCATACCCTAGGAACAGACTGCTGTAAACTAACTGGCATAATCAAGAAGACATGGCTTGAATAGGACATTGAAGAGAGAATAATATTCAAAGATCAAGAAAAGATATTTCCACTGCTTCAGCAACTGGTGTTTACACAATGAGTAAGCCAGACTAGTTTCAACAAAGGATTTGCATTGGGAAGTTGCAGTAACATCATTTTAACAGTGGCCTTGGGTTAAGATACTTCAAGTAGCTCAATAAAAGGCAATTTGTTCTTATTCACATTTTAGTCTTTATCTATGTCTTAGTAGAATAAACTAGAATTGGTGAGAAGGTTTCTCCTTCGGTTGAAAAGCCTGTATCTTTATAAACTGTGTACATGAACATTCAAGGAGATAGGTAAATCCTAAGCTAATTAGTAAATAAACCTTCAATCGGAGGATGGCTGATGAAGCTCTACACTCACCGTATTGTAGAGCTCTTCCAGTCGGGGGATCGTAAGAAAGCGATGGAGGTTCACTCCATTTTCTATCAAAAGCTTCACAAAATCCACCCGATCCATCACCAAGGCATCTAACATTGCTTGTTCTAGTGTGCCAGGCTTCATCAGGTACAAATTAAAAGACAGTTAAAGTAGGATAAACTAAGGAATTATACATATTTGCACTTAGAGCATACACACCCAGTAATTACAAAATACAGCCTTACCAAGAACGGGCAGGACCTAAGTGAAGGCATCTTGACTAAATCAAGAAATATTTCATGGGAAAACTGACTATGATAAAGATTTCACAACTTCCCAAAATGGTGTGCAGACTTAATGCAATTCTAATAAAAATCAAACGGTATTTTGGTTTGGGGTTTAAAAAATTTTTTTCTAATGTTGGTAACATAATGTTTCATTTAAGCTTTACCTGGTTTCTRAGTATAAACGGCAAGTTAAACATACTTCTCTAAATTTGTCCCACCATTAAGACTCTGCAAAAGAATTTTTTTTAAAAAGAAAGAAAGAAATTCACAGGCACAAGGAGGGCTRAAGTGGAGACAACAGTGCAACATTTTGGAAGTTGGAAAGCAGTTAGTCAAGTGGTAATTGACTTAGCAGTTTCCAGAAAGCCAAATAATTCAATTGGKAAATGTCAAGAACCAAACAAGATCTATGCCACTGAATTCCAGCAGCACCAAGATGAAATAAATGCCTTGGGTCCTTCCCTATCATCTTCCCCATTGGACTTCCAGGCAGGGGATCAAAAGATTCTCTTCTGGTTAATAACACCAATGCAAGAGAAAACACATGAATCTGCTGACATCTGAGGGAGTCCCACAACAAATGACAGATCACCTACTGTGATGCTCACATTTACAGAAAAGCTCCAACTAGAGGCTCAGAGTTGCTAATGAGCTTTCCATCCTCCACCCTTCAACAGAAAGACCAAAGCCAACAGATAAGAAAACATCAACAATGAGAAATCAGATAATGCATGGAGAAACCTACAAAAAAGCTACCATTAATAGTCTCAGAGAGATAAAGTAAGACATATAATGGATGCCAATGAGGACAAAGGGTAGGAGAATACTATCAGAGAACATATTTGCTCTGGGAAATTACTAGATTAACTATATGCTCTCAGAAGAGAAAAGCTTCATAGAAAACTGAAGTTGAAGAAATCTACTAAGAAAAGATAAGGAACATAGGAGGAAAAAGATAAGAAGATTATAACAGCAATCCATAGGTTCAACATTCAGAATATAGGAATCCACAAAGAGAATGCAAAAAACAAACAGAATGGAATGGAAAGGAAAGAAAACATCCATGCCAAGCTGATATCATATGCCAATAATATAGAATGGATATACAGACTTATAGTAACACATATCATTGTGAAATCTCAGAACACTGGAAAAAGATTTTTAAAACTTACAGCAGGAGGGGAAAATGGCCATAAAGGATCTGAAAACAAATTTCTATTTCTCAACAGCAATGCTGAGTGCCCAAAATTCTATAGAAAAACTTACTCAAGTGTAGATTAAAAATAGAAAAACATATAGATCCTCAAAATATTTATTTCCCATAGTCCCTTCTTAGAAGTTACYCAAGCATGCATGGCATCAAAATAAAGGAATAAATCAACAAAGAGGAAGTCCTCATGTACAGAAAACAGCCACTCTTCCAGAGGAGTGAGAGAAAAAGATTCCCAGCATGATGGAGGTAGATTCTAGGAGTACAGCCAAGCACCAGGAATAGAGGCAATCTGCCCACATTGCAGCCATGAGGCCCCCAAAAGGCAGATGTTGAGAGTCTTCTAAAATTGATGAATCAGAAGATAGCCATACAACTTTATTTAGAAATGGGGAGATTTAGCCAGGSACAGTGGCACACCACACATTTGTAATCCCAGAAACTCAGGAGATTGAGGCAGGAGGATGACAAGTTCTAGGCCACCGAGGGCAATTTGGTGATCTTGTCCTGAACTTGTAATGCAGTAGTACAGTATCCCTGGTTTCAATCCCCAGTACCACACAAAAGAAAAAAAGAAAAAGAGAGAGAGAGAGAAATATGAAAATTTATAAATGTCAGAAGTGAACAGTCCAAAAATGTCAAAAGTAGTAGACTCCTTCTGGAAGGGAATTACATTTTTAAAAGCCCTTTAATACCATTTGATGTTTTAAACAATGTGCATGTATCATTTGACCCAAATATAAYTTACCCAAGATATAGTTACAACTTTATTTTATATATATGGTTGTTGGTATATCTTTAATTTATTTATATGCAGTGCTGAGAATCGAACACAGTGCCTCACACATGCCAGGCAAGTGCACTATCACTGAGCACAGCCCCTGCCCAACAACTTTATTATTTAATGAACTGTTAATAGTGATCATCATTACCATTACAGGTAATCATTTTTTCCTAWTTCCACTAATTTCTACTGTGAGTATTTATTACATATTCATGGAAGTAGAGATATTTTTTAAGTTTTAAATAACAGAAATCYACCCATTCAAAAAATAAAATAAAAATCCTTCCATTCTGTTTTTCTTCCAACTTTCTTTTCCAGCTTACATTAACTAAAGAGTGAGGGAAAAGTTATTTTCAGGGAGGCAATGTATTGAGAGAAATGTCTTAGCCATTCCTGGGTGCCCAGACATCAAGATGCTCTTCCTATACCCCTCCCAAACCTATCTATTTCTCCTTTAATTTTTTTTCTCTGCCTCTCCCTAACAAAACATGCAAGATATTTTTTTTCCAAACAACACCGTTTTCATCATACCTTCCAATGTTGTCCGTAAATTAGGATATGTTTCTTRGCAATGTCCATTCTGTCCCAGGTCATTGCTAGATTTAATTGTTCTAATGTTGATAAATTTGTGCCTGTGGTAAAAGAAAGGAACAATCATATATTCTATTCAAAATATCCAGGCAACAAGCACAAGGTGCCCTGGAATGTGAGAACAGGAAGTGAGGAACAATTAAAAATCTCTTCAGTCACTCACCCTTGAACAAAGCTGTTAGGATTGCTAAGTCAAGGTCTTGCTGTTCTTCAGAATCAGCATCAAATATGGTTATCTGTAACAATTGAAAAATWAAAAAGCCATATATTCAGAAACTACCAAAGACATGCTCTCAATCAATATTCATAGAATTCACATTTAAGCTMATGAATTGAAGAAATCATTCCTCATTTTGCAATTTCAAAATGTAATTTAATTTTTTTTTTTACTTATAGAAATGATAAATMTTTTAAAATAGGGTAACAAAAAAAACTTGTAGGTGCTTGGAATAAGAAGAAACTTTATAAACTCCATGTGTATTAGAAGAAACATTTCTGAAAAAACAATATTATATTAATTTTCCATGTGCATGCTACAAAAAAAGGAAGAAAAAGAACCTCAATGTTTATTTCTACTGAAAATAAGATCAATCTTCCTTTTGAAGGGRTACCAAATGAGATCCTCCGCTCACTTAAACTTAGAAACCAAGACTTTTRTTTTTTAATGAGAAATGAATCCTCAAACATTTGTCCTAAAACAAGTAAGGCAATTTTACAATGGACTTAGTGACCAAGGACAATGAACAGTAGCATAGACATTGTTCACAATGTCAAAGTGCCCAGAGTGTTTTGGATTGTGAATGTCTTTTTTTTTTTTAAGACAAATAAAAACTAATGAATATATTCTAGCCTTTCCAGATGAAACTACATTCCATATAGCAGAGGAAACTTGATTAACAGAAAAGAGCCAGGACTGACAAGCTTACTGTGCCAGGCCCTTCTGCCATGTTCTGCCTCACCAGAGGCCCAGGATGAATGGGGTCAGCTAACCATGAACTGAAATCTCTAAAGCCCTGAGACAAAATAAATCCCTTCTTCTTTAAGTTGATTTCATAAGGCATTTTATCACAGGGATGAAGAACTAAAACAGTTCCTATAAGATATAAATATCATGTTCCTACAGCTTCACACATTCATTCCCTTCACTATGCACATGAATAAAATCAACCTTCAATGGCACAGGAGCTGAAAACCCAGTTGCTTTAATGTGCAAACTCTTTAGCTGCCTTCCCTACTCTTCCAGTCATTACTCTGTTCATTTCACTTGTTGATAACAGGAAGGGGCGAGCACAATGGCATCCTCTTTAACCTGTCCTTTTCTTAATTTACTGATTATTGTGGAAATAAATAGTGGAGTAGACTAAGAACAAGATTTCACCTTGGACCTCGAGAGTTTCAGTTCTGACATTTTTTAACTGCAAGGCTGTGCAAATCACTTAGATTCTTTGGCTTTTAGCTTCATTTTTGAAATTAAAATACAGTACCGCTGTTACACTGAACTTACTCATGGGGCTATTTCAGGAGAAAAATATATTCAAAAGCATAATGATAATTATAAACCCAATTGTTATTGAGTCACTATTACATGTTTTACCACAATTTCTGTAGCCTAGTTCTATCCAACAGGTTTTTTCAGGCTAAGTACTATAATATCACCAAAATTCTTCCAATTCTGGAAAGTTCACTTTGAATCATGACATATCTGCATATGTGCTATAATTTTCAGCTTTATCTATTATATTTATTTTGGRGGGAGAGTATTCAGGATTGAACTCAGGGACACTCAACCACTGAGTCACATCCACAGTACTATTTTGTATTTTATTTATAAACAGGGTCTCACTGAGTTGCTTAGTGCCTCGTTTTTGCTGAAGCTGGCTTTGAACTCGAGATTCTCCTGCCTCAGCYTTTAGAGCCACTGGGATTACAGGTGTACACCACCAGGTCGGGCTAATTTTCAGCCTTATATCATCCAAATTGATAAAAATTTTGACCCCTGTCCCTGACACACCAAACACTTTTCCGAAGTGTGCATATGACCGCAGCCATAGCCTATGGACTCTGTTTTCTATTCCAGAGTGTATTTTCACATTTCCTGTTGTCCAGTACCATCCCAGCGACCTCCTCCAGGACAGTCTGTGATGCTGTCATCTGAACTCAGCAGACTTGAGTTCACTGAAGACAGGAAGCTGTTCCTTTACTCTCTGAAAACATTTATGTGTAACTTTCACCAAGTTKTACGATGTTTCTGTAACACAGTTAATCCTATCCAGGGACCTATCCTAGGGGGCCTTCTCCCAGGTAGAGTCTGAAATTTGAATCATGAAGGATTGGGGTGGAGGTGAGGGTGAAGCATGAAAAAGCTAAGTTGACTCAATGAAAGGTTGAGTTACATCTACTCAAGTTCAAAATGAAAAAAAATGAAAAAATTAAACATTGCAATGTATGCAAACTGTCATTCTTTGAAGTCAGTTTGAATCATCAACTCATACTCACAAAATCCCTGTGCATCATACACTCCATTAAAATRTGAAAAAGGTGCTTGGACTGTTTCAGACTAAAGTTGAAAGTGTTCTGAATCATGCAGATGATTTCCTCTTTCACCTGAGGACGCAGCATCCTTGAGAGAGAAATAAATGGTTATGAYTGGATGCAACCCAGAGAAGGCACCAAGCCAGAAACTTCAATTCAAGAAAACCCAACTGCCCRCCCCACTGAAAAGGTTTCTATGGATAGTTCTGCCAGAGAGCAACTAAGCAGGAAGAAAATGCAAGGAGGGGATCCAGCAGAAGGCTGAACTGGAACATGAGTAAAAGGATGAGAAATGCTAAAAACTTTAAGAACCACTCATCCAGGTGACTTTAGGAAAAGGAGAGGTATGAAAAGACAGAGAGGGGTACAGGGTAGAAATAGGTGGCTGAAGTCTGAATGGGAAGAGAAGTCAGAAGGAAAGAGATGCCAGAGAGCTGATAGAAGAACATAAGCATGAAATACATTTACCAAATAGATTAACAGAGTTGGCATTTTACTTTTAGGCACTGTATTTATACAGCATAAACCTGCTTTCAAAGAAGATTCATGCTGCCCATAGGAATGGCTGGAGAAAAACTTTCTCATTTAAAAAACTTTCTCATTTAAATGCCTGCGGTAAACACAACACGTGTCATGTAAATGCTGGCATGTTAATTTTTCCCTATTCACACTATTTTTTCTAATGGCAAATGAGTTTGAAGGAGATCTGGGGCTAATACTGGTTCCTTCCCTCCCTGCAGAGCTCTCTCAAATATAAGGGACAATGCAGGGACATCTCTTCATTGATTTCCCTGGAAATGCCTTTTCTGGAAGTTCAAACAAGGCTCAAGATTCCCTAATAAAGGCAAGCCATTCCTCAGCTAAGAAAATACAGCCTTCATTGTTGGGGAGGCATCTAGGGACTAATGAACAAAAATGATTTCCAGTGTCACCCTCTGTACTCCAAGGATATCCGACCCACATCATGTATGGCTCAAAGATCTAAAATGGAAAAGTAAGTAGGTCACTGTCATTTTAAAAAGAAGAGTTGAGGACTTACCCTTCATCTGCTAAGTGTTTGTGGGTAAAGGCCAGGAGGTCAGCAGCTCTGCCTGTACCTTCACACACCACCACTGGGTCTTTGTCCTTGACAGTCTCCCACACCATGAGGATGACGTTAGGACCTCCTTCCACCACCAGCTGCACCACAGGCACGCCTTGTCGTGAGCCTGTTTCAGATCACAAACCATCATCAGACTGAGACAAAACATCCCTCTCTGAGAGTCAGCCCCTTTGGTTTCTGGGCACAAGTCTTTCCACTACCACATATCCTCATTGCTTGCACCTGCCCCTGTCCCTTAATTTACCCAGTTTGCTTAGATGAAGTCAAGCTATAAACTTGGACTTCAAATAAAATGTAGCATAAAGTATGGTGAGGGCCTCCTTAAGTTTTTGCCAGGACAAAAGTTAACTCAAGTCTTTCAGTGATTTAAAAAAAGAAAGAAAGACATTGTCTTCAAGAAAGTTAAACTTTTCATTTTGGGAAATCCCAAACATCGAAAAGTAAACAGAACTATATGATGGATTCAAATGTATCCATCACTCCTCTATAAATATGATCAATTTTTTAAATCTTTTTGTTTCCTTTTCTTGCAGTACGCGGAAATGAACCCAGCAACATCCTACCATTGAGCTAGATCCTTAGTCCTATTTATTTATTGACAGGGTTTTGATAAGTTCCTGAGGCTGGCCTTGAACTTGTGATCCTCCTGCCTCAGACTCCCAAGTCACTAGGATTAAAGCATGGGACCCAGCTCAATAAATTTTTAAGTCATTATTTGAATTATCATTATTTAAATAAGATGAATTGGGCAACCCTCAAAGATGTTTACATTTCAATATATTCTGATTTTTAACCATTTGAATTCTTACTGGCAGCATTAATTATTTTATTACAACAATGAAAAAATAAGGAGCAGCCAAGTCACTCTTTTAAAAAAGACATTAAGTGAAAAAAATACATATAGAATGAAATAAATAATATACCCAATTTGTATTTTCAAAACCTTATAATTGCCTATATATTTTACATGCATATCCCTATATCTTTAGCATGTTATATAAATGACTAGCAAAATCTGGAAGGATATACATCAAACTATTAGCAGTGGAAAAGGTAGGGGAGGGTTTAGATAAATTTGTTCATCTTACATATTTCTTATTACATTTTAATACCATACACTAATGGTATATATCACTTTTTTGTGTTGTTGTCATTGAACACAAGTCTTTGCACATGCTAGGCAAAYACTTTAACACTAAATGTACTCCAGACTGATATATTATTTTTATTTATTATGCAGTGGCAATACTAGAGATTGAACCCAGGGGTGTTCTACTTTTTGTTTGTTTGTTTTGTTTTGTTTTGTTGATACAGGATCTCACTACGTTGCCCAGGCTAGCTTCAAATTTGTAATCCATCTGCCCCAGCCTCCTGAGTTACTGGGATTACAGGTGTGTGCCACCAATACCTGACTGATATATTACTTTTAAATCAATACTTTTACTTTTCAAAAGAAGAAAAATTAGCAGGCAACAGCATACCTGCCAATTCTACTTCCTTATTGTTGTCTCCATATCACAAAAAGCAAACCTAGGATCTATCAACCAGTAGACATAGGGTCTTCCAATCATATCATCTTATCAAAACTAAATTAAATGTGGAAAATGTTTAGTTGTAGCTGGACACAATACCTTTATTTTATTTATTTTTATGTGGTGCTGAGGATCGAACCCAGGACCTTGCACATGTTAGGCAAACACTTGACCACTGAGCCACAACCCAGGCCAGGAAAATGTTTTATTGAAGCACAAAGGCAAGAAAGAAAACTTAAGATAAATATTCATTAATCTTGTGACAGAAAAAAAAATTCTAAGAGAATCTCTTACATCTCATACAATAGAATATTAAATAGCCATTAGAAATGTAGTAGCATGCTTATTAACATGAAAATGCATCCATGTTTAGTGGGAAAGAAGAGACTACAAAATAAGCATAGTTATCTTAGCATCCCAGTTTTCATTTTAAAAATGTTGCTCTGTATGGGGAGTAGTTATTGTTTTTGCTATTTTCATATGAGTTCTCCTTAGAATAAGGATGTTACCAATCCACTACGATGGATCCCACATTCTTTGTCCATAGTCATGGAAGCCCTCCAGGTACATCCAAAGGATTTCTTTGTTGTTGTTTTATTTTTGTCTTTTTGTAATGGGGATTTAACTCAGGGATGCTTTACCACATAGCCACATCTTTGGCCCTGTTGAGACAGGGTCTCGCTAAGTTGTTTAGGGCCTTGCTAAATTACTGAAGCTGGCCTCCTGAGTCACTGAGATTATGGGTATGAGCCACTGCACACAGCTTGTYCTAAGTTTCAAAGTCTTTGAAAGTACAAACATCAACTGCTTCTGCTCGGTGCAAGCTTGGGGTTGATTGCATTCACACAAAAACAGAAAATCAGCTGGGCATAGAGGAAAACACTTGCAATCTGACCACTCCAGAGGTTGAGGTTGGAGGATCCCAAGTTCCATAGCAGCCTGGACAACTTAGTAATATCCTGTCTCAAAATGAAAAAGAACTGGATATGTAGCTTAGTGGTTAAGGATCCCTGGATTCAGTTCCCAATACTGGAGGGAAAAAAATGGAAAATCAGTAGGGCACCAGAAAGACAAAGACCCTCATGAAGCATACACTACTGTGCTGCACAGAGCCTGAGCAATTCAGGTAGTGAGCGCAGGTGAACAGAAGCCACGGGATACTTTAAATAACTAGCATTTTAGAGACTTAACAGATCTTTCCCAGCATGGTTCTTCTTCAGGGCCATTCTCCAACCTTTCCTCTTTCCCTGTGCTCCGTTGGTCTTCTATTTCCCTAGCCACCTCTGTCCCACAGAGGACCACACACCCAATCCTCCCCTTTTCCTGACCTAAATGAGACTCAAGACCTTCATTCACCCTAAGCCATAAGTGACTGGTAGCAATTTCCATGGCCCCTCCCCTGCCTTCCTGACCCCACAACCACAAGATGACCACTGTACTAAGGGAAGACAAGGAAAGAAACAAACAAACATTTATTGAGGTGATACTATGCACCCAACACTATTCTAAGCACATCTAACATACCTTTTCTCATTTAATTTTTGCAACAACAGTTAGAGGTAAAAGGGTCCTTCCAATTGATAATAAAAAAAAGCAGTTTCACCACATGAACTCCATCCCCCAAGGTCACAGGCAGTGGAATACAGCTGTGACTTGTCTAACCTCACTGCTTCCTACTGTTTCAGGGTGTCAAGGCAAAAAAACTAAAAGGACTTTCAGTATTTTCAGCCAACACTCAAAGGTTGAGCAGAATTGAAGCTTCCTGGAGAAGCTTCTAGCCTGTCCCAGAAGGTAGAAATATTGTGTGGAAGATTTAATTCATCACAAGAAGCAAAGGCCACCTTCTGCTGCTCCTGATGGACCAAAAAAGTTTCCATCTCTCCAGCCAGCATCCAGCTCTCCTCCTCTCTATAAAGAAGCCCTCCTCACTGCCCAAAGACTCCCACTCCACAGATGCCACCAAAATGAATCATACCCATGGTCTCATGCATGCTAGAGAAGTGTCAGCCACTGAGCTACGGCTGCCCTGCACAAGCTCTGGGCTCCTTGAACACAGCAGCCCAAAATGGCCATCTGAAGCACCACTGTTAGCACAACACAAACCTGACACCTTCCACGCCCTACTTTCTAAAAGCCCTGTCAGGTCTGAACCACATCCATGCCTGAGCTCTACCCCCCCGACTCACACACACACATATGAAACATAGTCTTCCTTGACCCCTGCTCCTCTAAGGCTTGTCTCATTGTCTTCCCTGTGGAAACCCTCCCTCTTCCCAAACTCCAACTACCCAACTCTATGGACTCTTGGAGGCCTTGCTAGTGTCTCCATTGTTCCATGAAATTTCTCCTGGCTATACTGTCCCCCTAACTTGTGATCCTCTTTCTCATAATTCTGCACTATCTTGCACCCCCTTTCTGGCTCTCTGGCTGCTTGGAGGCAGGAACTGGCTTGGACTGGGCTCATCAGCAGGCCCCCAGGCAGACCTGTCAGCTGAGCCCTGACAGAACTCACGACTGTGTATCTTCTGCAGAGAGAGGTGCTTCTCCAGGTTCCTCCTGAGCTTCATTTCATTTCCATACTTGCCCACAGTCCCATCATCGGACAGGATGAAGTGCGCATGCATGCAGTTGAGTGTGGTGAGCTTGCTGAGGGGGTTACCCAGAGTCTGGTACATGCACATCACCTGATGGACAGCAAGGACAAGAGAGGGTCAGAGCTCAACTTCCCCAGGCTCAGCTGCTCTATGCACTAACAGAGCAGCTGTCAAGTTTAAAAACTATTACCTGCTACTTGGAACAGTGCTTCTCAAACTCTCTGTGGAGAGAGATCAAATTTTTAAATTTACCCTTTCTTATGGGCCAATAAAATACCAGTGTGCTCTTATTATGCACGACTACTATACAGCCCATTGTATGTGAGCCTCATAATACAATTTCTAAAACACACACACACACCATGGTCAGCAGGATGAGCACACCCACCAAACACTTAGATACCATTGCACAGTTGCATTGCTAAAAAGGTTCTAAATATTTATTTTCCACTTCCATACTCACCTTGTTTCAGACCATGAAAAAACAGTTCAAGAATTGGCACCACTATACAAATCACGCTGTCTCTCAGTAGATTTATTATAGAATAATATTGTGCCACTGATTTTTTTCTAGTATTCCAAATGAAGTGAGAGGTAACAATCAACCAGCCAATTGGCATTTTATTTGATAAAAAAYATCAAGGTCAGCTGGTTGTGGGGGCACACGCCTGTAATCCTAGCAGCTGGGCAGGCTGAGGCAGGAGGTTTGAAAGTTCAAAGCCAGCCTCAGGAATGTAGTGAGGCCCCAAGCAACTTAAAGAGACCCTGTGTCAAAATAAAAAATGAAAAATGCTGGGGATGTGGCTTAGTGCCTAAGCACCTCTGGGTTCAACCCCTGGTACAAAAAAAAAAAAAAAAAAACTTAAGGTCTTTTTAACATTTATGAACACCCCTTTGAGCAGCTCCAATTCTTATTTGCTTTTAGATGTATGGACATGGTATTTAATCAGAAAGACCAAGTTAAAGTTCCTGCTGACCTTAACCCTGGGTTACTCCTGCTTCCTTTCTCAGGCTTATTTTCCTCATGTATGAGAACAAGGATAATTCCTACTTTGGAGGATTGCCATGAGCCTTCAAAGAAATAATGGATGTAAAAAGAACTATGAATTTTGCTAACATTAGGCTCTAATTGTATCAAAATGGATTCTACTGTCATGTAAAACTAAAAAGAAACAACAAATTAAAAAAAAGTCACCTTTATAATTGTGAAACATGACCAGAAACCTAAAGGAAAATGACTGGCAGAATTACTATATATCTTATATTTATGGAAAAAAAACTCATAAATAATATAAAATAAAATTTGAGAGAAATGTAGTATACATGACAAAAGTATTACTAGGCTATAAATAAAAAACTATGTGAAGAGACACTGAACCTCACTAGCAACCAGATAAATGTAAATAAGAACAGTTGGGTATGACTTTATACCTATAAGAATGGGAAAAAAAAAAAAGTCTTAAACACAGAAGATTCCTAATTGGCCAAGGAACAGGGCACTTGGGCACTCACATACCCCCTTGGTACATTATGAACAATCACCATTTCTTTACCAATTTCATGTAAGACAACCTTTCATGTTTTTAAATATACACAGCAACTGGACCAAGCCCTGCTCTTTGAGAACAATTTCTAAGGAAAYAAGCAAGGCAGTACCAAAGATTTGTATATCTCACACAATATTAATAATGCCTATAAAAGTGAGAAAGAAAGGGCAATCATAGAGGAATAATTAACTATAATATGGTAAAACACTATCAGGTAAGAAAAATGAAAAGGCACCCGTGGCCCCAAATTGTGGTCCCCTAACACTATGCCCCACTGAAAGCAAACAGCAGTATCTCTAGGGAACAAAAATTATACACAATCATCCCAGAATATTTTTTCATCTTAAAAAAGCAAGAAAGTTATGAGATGAAAGAATTGAGCAAAGGGACTCAACAAGATACTAAAAACCTCTTCTAGACAAAATGGAGCAATTTAAGTATGATAAAAAAATACTATAGAGCCAGGCATGGTGACAGCAYATGTTTATAATCCCAACAACTCAGGAAGCCAAAGCAGGAGGATCACAAGTTTGAAGCCAAGTGGGGCAACTCAGCAAGAYCCTGTTTCAAAATAAAAAGGATGGGGGTGTAGCTCAGTGGTTGAGCTCCCCTGGGTTGAATCCCCAGTACAATGAAGAAAAAAAAATTCTAACAATAATGACTAGCATAGTGAAATATATAGGTTTAAATTCATGAATTTAAAGAAAAAGTAAGTTTCACCTTTGGAGGATGGTAAATAATCATCCCATTATTTTGAAAACTGGAAAATAAAGTATCAGACATTTTTTCTGCCTTTCCTATCCAACTGTACAAGGTAAGACAAGCGCTTGATGAGAAACTATTTTCTTCGAAGAATAGCAAAGCAAATAATTGAAAGGAGAATGCTATAATTAAATATCAGCATTTCTGACCTTATTGAAATAATGAATCTAGGTGATGACTGCTAAAACCAAGAAAAGACAGGTGATCAAAGGTCACAGCAGAAGGACACACCTCCCATAACATAAACCTGAACAAAAAGAATCCAAGTCTGATTGTTATTCTTGACCAAACTACCAATTTACAAGGAAGACAAGAAACAAGGAAACATGTTAAGTCTGCTGCAAAAGGTTAAATCTGGAAAATCCAAACTGTGAGAAACTCTTCAGGAAAAATGACCCAAGTTCTTCAACAAACAAATTGAAGGGGGAAAAAAAAAGAGATGAATTGCAAGAATGGGGAAAAGTGAATCAAACCAGGCATGGATTATAGGCACACACCTATAATCCCAATGACTCTCTTCTAATATCTCTACTATTTAATGCGTTTGAAAATTTCCAAAATAAGTGTTAAAATACACCATAAACATGACTACATTGATTAACATAGAGAAATAACTATGCTAAATAGTTAAATTTAAAAAAAGCATAGCAGTGAGTTTATTTTGTTACTTTTTAAAGGCAATTTTTAAAAACACAGATAGGCATATTCAGAGAAAAATTCTGGAATCATAACACACCAAAATATTAACAATAGTTATCTTTCTTTCTTCTTTATATCTTTTCTAATACCAATAATCTTACTAAAAAAAGCTTTATAAATAGACACATCCATTCCCTCCTAATATAAACACATAGAYAGGATCAAAGAATCAATACATAAGAATGAATGAAGCAGAGAGTAATATGAAATAAGRGAAAAGAACTAGCAAGAGCCAAATTAAGAATCTGTCTTGTTTCACTACATGCAAACCATTCCAAATATATTGGCTATTTGCAGGACAGTAACCATTGAGGAGTTTTGCAAAGAGGAATAGCATGATTTGATTTCTATTTTACCAGTAACATTCTGGCTACTGTGTTGACACTAGACTGTAATAGGAGAAAACAATAAGAAGAAGGAAGACTATTACAATCATTTAGTATCATAAGGTCATTTAGACCTGGTCACTAACAGTGAAGATAATGAAAAGAGGTCAGGTTTTTCAGCATATTTCAAAAGTGGAGCTCAAGTAGTTTACTGATGGATCAGGTCTCAGGCATGAGACAAAGAGCTCATTCTGGAATTCATCTGGGGTTTTTGGCTTGAACAACTGCAAAGATGGAATTGTCATTTTCTATAATAGRATGAAGGCTGAATTTGGGGTACATGCCTATAATCCCAGCCATTTGGGAAGCTGAGGCAGGAGGATCACAAGATTAAGGCCAGCCTGAGCAATTAAAGGAGAATGTGTCTCAAAAAATGAAATAAAAAGGGCTGGGGGTGTAACTCAGTGGTAGAGCACCCCTGGATTCAATCCTAATACTAAAGTATAAAAAAGTAAAAGAATAAAATAGGATGAGGGATGTAGGAGGAAGGCAGAAATTGGCTAGGGATATATTTACTACATTTGAGGGGACTATTAGACACCTAGCTGCAGTGTTACATGGGCAATTTGAATTTACACTTATTTCCTTTTGCTATGAAAGGATTGTCTACTTACATCTTTTCCAATGAGATCTCTCTGGTTCTCAATGACACCCCAAGGAGGGATTCCAACAGTCCAGATTTTCCTCAAGGACTTAGAGGAATGGGCTTTTAGGGCATCTCCAACGTGCTTGGACACTCCTAGCGACAAATAGTTCAGAAGTCAAATTTTAACTCACAAATCACATAAAAYAGAGTCAAACAGATACAGATAATGCAAAAGGTTATTTTTAAGGAAAGTTGCTGGCACAGTGGAATTGACTTCTGGTATCTCATTTTCCCCTATTCTCTCCTGACACCTTTTTCTCTTATCACTGACCTCTGTACCTAAAGAATTTCCCTCTCCTTTTGGGCAATTTCTGCCTACAATCTCAGCTCTGAGCCTGCTGAATGACCAGAATGTTCTGTGCGTTGTCCTTTCTCAGCAAGTCCAGCCCTGATATCATGAATGTTCTATATGTCTTTATCTCTAATCTTCTCTAAAATCTCAGCAAAACCCCCTGCAGATGTATCCCTGGCTTCATTAAGGCAAACTATTTTAATAGCTTCATATACACAAATAATTCAGAGAGAATACATTAAGAAATAGTACATTAATGTTTGATCTCCTGGAGTTAATAATAATATTTATAGTAGCCACCCCTTTCCAGAACATGATAAGATTTCAGCAAGTGWTAACTACTTTACAAGTATTTACATATTAGGATTTTTTTTAGTCCATTTTATAGACAAAAATGGTGGCACAGAGAGGTCAAATAATTTGCCCAAGGTTATAGAGCTGGCAATTTGTAGAGCTAAGATTCCAATTTAGATAATCTGACTCTTTAAAAAAAATAGTCTTTATTTTTAGAGCAGTTTTAGTTTGAACACAAAGTACAGAAATTCCCCTATGMCCACTGCCATCTCACAAACATAACTTCTCCCACTAACAACCCCCACTAGAGTGGTACATTTTGTTATAATCAATTACCAACCAGAGGTATAGTTTACATTGGGGTTCATTCTTGGGGTCATATATTCTATGAGTTTTGACAAATGTATAATGACACCTATTTACCACTGTAATATCATACAGAATATTTTTCCTGCCCTGAAATTTCTCTGTGCATTGAATATTCATYCCTCCTCTCTGCTAAGCCCTAGACATCACTGATCTTCTTTCTACTGATCTTTCTTTCCATAGTTGCCTTTTCCAGATGGTCACATAGTTGGAATCATACAATAAGTAGTCCTTTGACTTTGACTCTGACCTTTAGTTACAACACTGCATCTTAAGACAGTCTTCCTTATGTATGCTAATGACTTTACATATGTCATTAGCACAGAGAGGAAAAAACCTGCTGATATGGTTTGAATGTGTCCCTTTAAAAATTTACAGACAGCAGAATACATCAGACATGAGAAAGGCAATATGTCAATCAATGGAAGGGTAACTGATGTGATACAGCAATCTGTATAYGGGGTAAAATTGGGAGTTCATAACCCACTTGAATCAAACTGTGAAATATGATGTATTAAGAACTATGTAATGTTTTGAACGACCAACAATTTAAAAAAAAGGAAATATATATATTAAAAAAAATTTATGCACTGGAACTTTAGTCCTCAATGCAGCAGTGTCTGAAATGGGGACTTGGGGGAATTGTTTAGGTCATGAGGGTTTCATCMTCATAAATGGATTTATGATACTTAAAGGGGTTTCTGATAATGGGTTTGTTCTCTCTTGCCCTTCCACCTTTCAACAGTGAGGAAACAGCCAGAGAATCCACATCAGATGTTGATCCCTTGATCTTGAACTTCCCAGCCAAAAAAAGTGAGAGAATAAGCTCTGTTCTTTATAAATTACTAATGTCGGTGTCCTGTTATAACAGCACAAACAGACTAAGAAAGACACCTTCATATTTCATGGATCTGATGCAGAGCACCTAAATCACTTTCTTATCTCTGGCATCTTCTCCCCCAATCCATTAAAACTCTGCCAGATTCATCTGTAGAACCTGGGTTCTGAACTTCAGGAACACTTGTATATCAACTGTGGAGCTATCCATCCCAATAGAGATTTTGATTCCAGAAGTTTGGCCTGGTTTAGGGTAGCAACACCGTACAGTTATTTTTGGTGGTGGTGGTGTTTTAAGAAACCCACCTGCTATCCTAGTACAAATACTCTGTTGAGAGTCTCTGCAAAATTCAATCTGACCATATCATTCCCCTATCCATTCTCTGGTTCAAAAACCTTCAAGAGCCCTTTGCCACACAGAGAATAATGCCAGGCCATGAGCACAGAACCCAATCTGGCTCCAGTCTCCCTTACTGTCCCTGAGCCCTGCCACATGGCACACACTGCAGCCAGTGACCTTATCACTTCTCTCTACACTTGCGTTGATCTCTTTCTGTGATTCTCATGATGAAGTGCCACCGCTGCCTTGCTGAAGACCAATCCATGGGCTGTATCCTCATCCAAAAGGGGCCCTCAGTTCAAAACAGAATTCATCCTCCCTTTCCTTTTCCTCAAACTTTCTTTTTAACCCTGTCAGCATCAAATTCTAATCAGTTGCTTTTTGTCTGCTGTCACAGCCCACCTGTGTCCCTCACCTAGGGCCACACTGCTTGTCTTTCATCCACACCTATCCAGATGTTCTAGAYCTAGTAGATCTTGAAGGCTGGTGGCATTCAACTCAGTAATTGTCAAATAGCCGTGCCAAAAAAAATGTTCAGTTTTAGTTCAGAAGCGTCTCAAGATAGACAGGCATTCATAAGCAGAGCTTCTCAAATTTAAATGTGCAAAAGAAAATTTAAATGTGCAAGAATCATCCAAGGTGTTGTTCAAATRCAGATTCTGATTCTGTGAGTCTGGGGTAGGACCTGAGATCTGTTTAGGAGCTCTGATTGAATCAGACTGATGGTTATTTAGAGGAGTTGCAAGTCTTCCTTATTTTCCATCATCTCTCCTGTTCATATAATCTACTTAAATCATCTTCCCACTACTGTCTATGCTTTTCTTTAGGTTTGGTGATCCTCACCTAAATTTTCTTTTCTAAAAAACAATAAGTAAAATGAAACCTGTAATGCAGTTATTTAACAAAAAAATTATCTTTTCCAAGTCGACCTTTTTCTGAGCTCTCTAAAAGTTCTCCTCCCCACTCTCTTTTTTTACAGGAAATAAAATAAGTACCATACAAMGGACTTAGAACTCTGCCAGCTTCAGTTTATGTCAAAATGTGAAACAATAATCATCTATAAAATGTACAAGACAAACTATCAGATTCCTATTAGTGACAGGCCAAATCCCTTGTTTCATTTTGTTTTTTATGGGTTTTTGTGGTCGTTTGTTGCTAATTTGTTTATCATTTTCTTCCTTTATTCCTCTTCAGTCAAAAGAAATTGTTAAATCAGCACGTGTTGCTAAATACTTGGACAAAGGTGTGGGCTGGCCTTTGGTGCACCACAGACAGGGCAGAGAGCTACTACACAGACTCATGCTCATGTGTGAAGCAAACAGACACAGGCTGCAGGTAGTCACTGCTATAGGAATTAAGAGATAAAAGTAAATAGCTCTAGTTGAGACATCAGATGCTGCTTCATGAATGTGTTGACATCTTGTGTCAGCCCTAAAAGATGGGCATGATTTAATCAGAGACTTTGGATTCAGAAGAGAGAAGAGTAAAGAGAGATCAAAAGCCATCTGTTA